ACAGCATGCGCTTCTGCCCGTTCGCCCAGAGGACGCTGCTGGTCCTGCAGGCCAAGGGGATCCGGTGAGCTGGGCCGGTGGGGGTTCCCACCCCGAGTCTTATTCTTTTGCTGCCGGGGATCGGAACTCGGGAACCTTGCGCTTGCTTGCGAGGGAGGCAGTGGCACCACTGAGCTACGTCCCAGGTCCTTCCTTATCATTCTTCATCGTTTTTTTTCCTGGCTTCCTAGCCTTTGTTGTTAAGTTAACCACATTCTCTCCCTACCCCATCTTGGCTTCCTGAGGTCACCTTTCTGGCACCGGGTATCGAACTCAGGACCTTGCACTTGCGAAGCAGGCAGCAGAACCACTGGGCTAAATCCTTGGCCCATCCGTCTTAGTCTTAACCGAAGAGTAGCCTCAGCCTTTCGAGAGGGACACGGAGATTACAGCGCCTCTCCTAGAAGGAGGAACCATCAACCGACTGCAACCCTCCACGACCATCCTTTCGGAAAGACGAGGCAGCAGAGCCACGGTGGTTGCCTGGGGTCACTCCGGGAAGGATCCAGTGGTCGCCGGGTACCCTGATTCCTGGGCCGGTGTACTCCACTTTAAACCCATTTGCTTCTGCATTCTGGGCCCTCCCGAAAAGGACTTTGACTCAGGACAGAGTTCATACTGACTTCCTGGCAGAATGCTGAGTGACTTGTCCTGGCGATGGTTCGGTGCATTGCAGCGTTGCTTTAGTTAAATAACAAGTGTCTTGGCCTAAAACCTAGTACTTTCCAGACGCTTCACCCTTGCAGCTGGTGTTCATAGGCTGCTGACCTTGGGTTGTCTGCAGTGGGGGGGCCACTGGCTTTTTTTCTCTGGCGCCCAGGACTCATGAGGACCCCTTTCTTCCAGGGACCTGGGGGATTTTTAGAGCTGACGTTACATGCCTGTGTTGTGCAGAGTTTTGCTGTAGTTTGAAACACAGATCATTCTTAAGACATCTTCCATCTGTGCTTACAGTTTGTAAACTAATTTGACTTCCAAGGGGAGAATTGGTTAGGTGGGCAATTCTTTTCCCTGAAAGAAATGTAAGATGCATTCTAAAGAGAAAATTATTTGATTAGCTATCGCTTCACTAAAATTTGCAACTCACTTGGATGAAATCATGATCTTGAGCACACAGCAAAAGAATTACTTAGGGAAGTTTTATCTAAAGAGCACATATTTGCTGTATTAGTCAGAACTCTTATTGCAAGAGAAATTCAAACTGGGTTTTTAAAAAAGGCCTTCCTTGTATTCAGGTAATGGACAAGCAGGGGAGTGGGTTTAGGGCCACAAAGTCCTGGCTTGTGTGCTTCCCTTTGGAAATCTAGGGTGGAATCAGTTACCTGTCCTCCCAGGACAGATTTCTGAAGGAAATATGAAATGATTTGCCCTCACTGGTAGGGAGGAGAGCCCCAGGGAGGAAGGTAGTACCTTCCTGATGGTGCCTACAATGACCATCAGCCGTGTTCACTGGTTAGGTCACGGATTACTTTGCACCCTGGAGACTTACCAGGGAAGTGCTGGTTTCCCCAGGTGCTGTACCTGGCCGCAGATCTTCCAACTTGTTGGCCCAGGTTTTCTCTGGGCTCAAAACACCAAGCAACTTAAGCACATGTGTGTTCTGAGGCGCTTTTGATCACAGAAGCCCTGGACCGACCTTGTGTTCTCCCGGTACAAATTATTCTTTGGCAGGGAGCCTTGCCCTCGTCACAGTTGGTATGTGTGCCTAGTAGTATTCGGTCAGCATGTGAGCTTTTTAATATATGCACATGCACATACACTAGTGTTCAGACTGGCTGTTCCTTTGTTTCCATGGGGGATTACATATTTATTTAATTATATTTCTATATATATTTTTGAGACAAGGTCTTGCGATGTGGCCCAGGCTGGCCTTGAATTCATGGCGAGTCTTCTATCTCAGCCTCCCGGGATTACAGGTGTGCGCTGCCATGCCCGGCTGGGATTACATATTTAAATCCCAAGATGAAATGCTATTTTAGCTACTTTGTGTGGAAAATAGGAAACAAAAGGTTTTGGTGCACATTACTTTTAGTAGCCTGTTCTACTGGACATTGATTCAGCTTTGAAAATTGTATAGACAATTATATACTTTCTCTTACTTTCTCTCTAATCTCTCAGGCAAAATACAAGGTGGGTCGTATTACAGTCTCAGTATAGCCTGAAGCTCACCTGTTTTCCTCCTGTTTTGGTTTACTTTGTGACTTATTTATTCTCACTATGGTCTTGAACTCTCAGTGATCCTCCTGCCTCCTGAGTACTGGGATTGCATGTGTGCATCGCTACCCCTGGCTGTACTTTGTAGGTCTTTAAAAAACATGCAACGTTCTTTAAAGTATCGACACACAAGGATTTAACCCAAAAGTTCATTTTGGGAATGGATTTTTAATATTTCTTACTATCTTTATAAAAAGCAAGGGATTCTTTTATTCATATTAGCCAGATGAGTTCAATTCATTTGGTTCTTTTTGAACTGAATCAGAATAAAATGAATTTTAACATGTTGATTCTCATATAGTGGGATGGAGACACAATTCAAGTGGCTGCCTCCTATCAGCATCTCAAAGAGGTATTTACACATCATTCACAGTAGGTAATGCCAGAGTCCATCAACAGACAAATGGGTTAAGAAAATATAGTGTATGCTTACGATTCCATCATTAAAAGGAGGGAGTACTGCAGTATGTGACAACTGGACGGGACCTGAGGACGTTATTCTAAATGGATTGAGATGCACAAAGACAAATACTGCATGGTCCCCTTGCAGGAGAGATTGATAATAGCTGCTTAAAATGAAAAAAGAAAAAACAACCAGGTATGGAGGGGATCAAGGCAGAACTGACTCCTAAAATTGGGGTCTGGCCAACTAAGAGGATGATAGGACCAGTTAGGATTTGTTCGAAAGTAGAAAAGAAAAGTTTTGCTCTCTTCCTAGTCTTGTATATGTCTTTCAGGCATGAAGTCGTCAACATCAACCTGAAAAATAAACCTGAGTGGTTCTTTAAGAAGAACCCCCTTGGTCTGGTGCCGGTGCTGGAAAACAGCCAGGGCCAGCTGATCTGTGAGTCTGTCATCACATGTGAATACCTGGACGAAGCCTACCCTGGGAAGAAGCTGTTGCCAGAAGACCCTTATGAGAAAGCTTGCCAAAAGATGACCTTAGAGTTATTTTCCAAGGTATGTGGATAGGAAATTTCAGCTGTTTAAAAAAAATTTTTTTAAAAAAAGCCAAATCAATGCTGTTGTTTATGGCTCAACGATTTGGGAGAGAAAAGCCAAAGAGGAGTTCGTGCTTGTCAGTTTGACATGTCCTGAAAGTCCATGATTTAATTCCTGATAACTTTTCCAGTTATCCCTCGTACTCCTCTCCTGACACTGTAATCCAGCCACGCTGTGCTGTTTCAGTGTTCCCACGTGCGACACTTCTCTTGGCTCTTGTTGGAGTCCTCCTTCTCAATTGGCTGGTTTACTTCCGTTTCTCTGCTTGGTTCACCACTGCCTTCCAGAAGCTTGGCTGGGCTGGTCAGGGCTCTCACTCTGCATGCCCAGACGGGCTAATGCTTCCTAGTCATTCCTGGTCAAGGCTCTGGGCCCGCAGGATTGCCTGCCGTTTTACCCATGTATTGATGAGCTCACAGTGTGAGCTCCAGGAAAATGAGGGTGGTTTTGATCACTGTTGGTTTACTGCTTATGTTTGTGACCTGCTCAGCCACTTTCATGTTGTGTCCTTGGAGAAAGTTACTCCTGATGTTACCCTCCAGGACCTTCAATTATCATTTATAAGTACTGTGGGTATAATGACTATTCTTTATAAAGTAAAAATCAGTTGATACAAAACACCCAAAGAAGGATCTGAGACTCAGTGTTAGCCCTTGCTGCCATTGCCACAGTGTAGGGTGGAGTGCGGTGATCACCAGAACTCTCATCTGTCTGAATAACACCATTCCTGGAGAAGCAATTGCATCTTAATAGCATCAACGTGGATTAGTCCAGCTAGCAGCAGCAAAGAAAGGACCAACAGATTTGCATTTAGATATCAAGAAAAGCAATGTCCTGCTCTATCCCTCTAAAACTATTGCCTTGATTAGCAAAGTTGGTATGTAGAATATTTTATTTCTACAGGAAAAAAATGGTTTAAAAAATACATAGAAGATGGGGGACTTATTGGGAGCCTATATTTGAGGAGATACTTCAATGGGATGGGGAAGGCTTAGGGAGCCATCACCTTCACTAGTACGAGGGTACAAGAATAGTGGAAGTGGCTGCTGTCAAAGCTGATGGAAAGGGCCTATGACATTTACGGGAAATGCTGGTGAGCTTAAAAATTAAGATTCTCTGTACTGCATAGAAAGAAAGTAAACATGACAAGTAAAGTCGGTGATGCCCACCATTATTTCTCTGTCCCCTTTCAGGGGAAAAGGTGGAGTCACTACCATGTGACAGTCTCCAGGCCATAGCTCAATGGACCAGAAATGTACCCCACCCTCTCCCCTGGCCAATCATCTTCTCTTCTGGGACTTTAGAAATGAAACAGAGACTAAGACAGTAAAAACGCTTTGAAGATTGATTGATTGATTGGTACCGGGGTTCAAACTTGGAAGGCAGGCGCTTTCGAGGCAGGCCGTGGAACCAGAGCTACATCCTTGGCTCCCTCTGAAGATATATATAAATTTTTGTTTTTGGAGAGTTGAAACATCCAAGCCACATTAAAAATACAGTTTTTTAAAAAATACAGTTTTAAGGGAAGCAGAAATTGACAATATTGGAAATGGAACTAATATATAGAAAATAATATGGTACAGACACAGGATGTGATAAAAATACAGTGAACATTTTAAATTTTCAAACATTACAGTAAAAGACATATTGCTATTAATCTCCCTCAAGAAACCAAAATACTCACCCTCCTTGCTTTGAACTCTCTTAACTAGTGTTCTTGGGAATGTATTGGTTTTTTTTTCTGAAATGTCTTTTTTTAAGGCTGATACTTTTTGATCACCCTTTGTATTTAAGGAAAAGCAATGATGAAAGACTAGGCAGGCAAAACGGAAGTGTGGCCAGAAGGCTGTCTGCGAACTGTCAGTGCCAGTGAGAACACAGACGGGATTTCATGAGTTTCTCTTGTTTTTACAAGTACATGTTTGCTCTAGACGGGATGAGTGGACTACTCTTACAGTGGGATTATCTCAAAGGTTTTTAGTGAAACACACAGATACCTCTACCACAAGCATGAAAGCATCTGTCAGGTCTTCAAGCAGTCTTTTGGAGCCATCTTTCGTGTTCTTTCCTAGGTAGAACTCATGACAAATTCTCTTGCTGTTGTCCCTTTCCAGCCGGGGTCTAAGCTCTTCCTGTCAAGACAGACAGACAGACAGACAGACACACACACACACGGTAGCATCCTTCTGAGACACGAGCGGTGTGAGGATGTGGCCCAGTGGGGGCCGCTGGTGCTTCTGCTGAGTGTGGCAGGAGCAGCGGGAACTGCAGACTGAATCCCAGAGTGGCAGTGGTAGAGGCCTGGTGTTGCTAGCAGTCGCTGAGTCTGCTTCGATGCTGCACACTGAGCGTGATGGGCACTTCTCACTAGCCGCTTTTCTCGGCATGATTTTGCAATGTTCGGAGTTCCAAGTCTGTCAGGCTTCTCACAGTTCTGTGAGCCACTCTGTCTTTTGAAGAAGTTTGGCTCAAACTCACTGACGTGGGACTATTTGTAATGTACAAAATCGTAACCAACACATCTTCATCTACAGAACTGTCTGTAATATAAGCCCTTGCTGAACATCCTGTGAGGATTCTATTACGTTCTTATGGAAGAAGGCCAGCATACTTAGCCTCAAACTGATGAACTGTTCTCTGTCTAGGTGTCATCTTTGATGGGCAGGCTTATAATGCTCCAGCAAAGTAAAGGAGACAGCTCTGGCATAAAAGAAGAGTTGCAGAGAGAATTGAACAAGCTAGAAGAGGTAATCATGTATTCCATCCTTTACAGTACCTGTATCCACCCTCCTTTTCCTTCTGGTTGTTCCTCATTGTCCCATTTCCCAAGTGACTTTTATGGAATAATACCAAATAAAAAATTGATTTCTGCTGGATGAGGTGGCTCACACCTGTAATCCCAGCCCTCTGGGAGGCCAAGGCAGGAGGGCTCAAGTTTCAAGTGCCCATCGCACTGTAACACCCTCTTATCAATGCACTTTCTTACATTTTAGAAAGGCCCTATTTGTGCTTTGTTTTCAAATCCTTGTCAACTGTTTAACAGATAATTTGATCTATTTCCAGTATATTTTTATTAAAAAATGACACGCAGGGAAGTACTCAAAGCATAAACAGACAACTGGATAAAGTTCACAAAATGAACATAGCTATGGTACTAGCACCCACATCATGAAACAAAGTATTAGCTGGGCTGTTTAGTTCGTGAAATTTATCCAAATGGAATCACAGTATGTACTCTTTTCGATCTTTCACTTGATACTATATTCCTCTAACCGTGTGTAGCTCTTTTCTATTCTTTGTATAGTGCTTCAAAGTTTGTACCAGTTTAAGACGGTCTCACTGTGTAGCTCAGGCTGGCCTTGAGCTTGTGGAGACCCTCCTGCCTCAGCCTCCTGAGCGCTGGGTCTACAGATGTCTGCCACCATGGTCCGTGGCTCATTCTACTTTGACAAACATCTTTGCACTGAACTTTTCTGTACATATCTTTTGCCATACCTGTTGTACTTCCAAGTAGATGGCTGGGTCCACGATACACATAACTGTTAGAACAGTGGTAACCCATTTACATTCCCTCCAGCTGCAGTTCCAGACCTTGGCCAACTTTGTGTCGTTCATGTCAACCATTCTGATGGATCAGGGTCTCACTATATCGAGACTGACCTGGAGCTCACTATGTAGCCCAGGCTGGTCTCAAACTCACAGTGATCCTCCTGCCTCTGCCTCCCGAGTGCTGGGATTACAGGCGTGCACCACCATGCGCGGACAGCATTTTGGTTTCAGTTTGCATTTCCTTGGTGATTAATACAGTGGAACATCTTTTAAAACAACAACTGGCCACTTGGACCTCCTCTCGTGATGTGCAAGGTTTTTCTGATGCAATGTTCGCCATTTTTCTTTTTGATTCCCTGGGGTTCTTTTTATATTTTGAATACTTGTCCTTTGTGTTATATTGCCTCCCCCCTATTTTATTTTGTTTGCTTTGGGCAACAGATTCTAAAGCTTTTCGATTTTTTTCTCTTTTCTTTCCTTTTTTTCCTGATATTGAGGATTGAACCTGGGGCCTTGAGGATCCTAGGCAAGTGCTGTACCACTGAGCTTCACCCCAGCCCTTGTTGGAGCTTTTTGATCAAACAGACAAAAGCTCTGCTTTGATATGTCAGGATAAAGCTGCCCTACCAAACTTACTCTCACCTTTCTGGTGGTGACTTACTAGACACATAAACACTGTTGTGTTGTTTGATGTTCAGGTTCTGACTAAGAAGACGACAACCTTCCTCGGCGGCAGTTCTGTCTCTATGATTGATTACCTCATCTGGCCCTGGTTTGAACGGATGGAAGTACTACAATTCGACGAGTATGGCCTTTGAGTATTCTGTGCTTATGGGATGACAGTTGCAATAGTACACGTTGAACAAAGTTCAAATATATAATATACCTGAATGAGAACAAGAGACAGGAGAGTCCTGAGCTATCCACAGACCCACATTCAATACTCCCAATCCCTGCAGGCAGGAGATTTCTGTGCTGTCCAAATGTTTTACAATTTTTATTCCTGCCCTCCTGGTTACAAATCCCTAAGGATGTGCATTTTCATAAGGACGTTGTTGCAGGAGCCTATGACTAGAGTTACTTTCCACTTACCAGGAGGATTTCCAGTATTCTACACTCTGTGTATGTTTTGGGTTTGGCAGCCAGCCACCTCCATTTATTCCCATTTTTTAGAGATTAGGGCTACTTGGGGTTATTTTTTAAATCACAATCTGGTGATAGAGTAATATTAATTTCTTAGATGTCTTTTAAGTTCTCTTACCAGTCTGTCAACCTGGACAAGTTTTCACACTGAGCAAATCATTTCACATTCACTTCAGATTCACCGTCTGTGAACCAAAGATCTTTGATATTTTTCAAATCTAATACGTATGATTGTATACATTTTAAAGATGCTTTGAAAGAAAATTGTTTGTTTGAGACCTGGTCTTACTATGTAGCCCAGGCTGGCTCTGAACTCACAGCTACCTCCCTGCTTCAGCCTCCCAAGTCTTGGGATCACAGGCCTGCACCACCATGCCTGGCAAAAGAAATACTTTTAAAGGTTAAGGGAAAACAAAGTGAATCTGCAGATCATAGTGATGCTCAATGGGAGTCTTAGTTCTGCTATCATAACCTCGGTAGCTCACCTCTCTTCTTTCCTCCCCAGGTATATGGCCCAGACTCCAAAACTTAAGCTCTGGATGGCAGCCATGAGGGAAGATCCTGCAGTTAAAGCCCTCCTCTTGGATGGGAAGAACTTTAAAAATTTCTTAAAACTTTACTTCCAGAACAGTCCTGAAGCCTGTGACTGTGGGCTCTGAAGGGGCAACAGTCAGCAGTGCGGCGCTGGTATTCTCCTTTGCTGATATGAATAATAACATGCTTTCATTTTGCCAAGTGTTCTCCAGTGGCATTTGCTTGTCTCTGACCGACCTGATACCCTGATGGCCTCGCTGTGAGGGCTGTCAGCCCCTTGCCCCCGAGATACAAAACAAACTTCCTCTCTGGGGGTGCTCGGCTGGCTCTGGGCTCTATCCTAGTCTGAGCTGAAAACGCCCAACATCATCTCTAGTAAGACAGGAACTTAATCCAGACTTCAAGCTGTTCACAGGAAATGCCCACTGGGATACCCTACCTTCATTTCAGGAAATGCCCGCTTAAATTTCTTGTCTTGTGGTTTGAGTTGAGAAACTTTCAGTCTCTTATTCTTTCCTTTCCGTCCTGTTTCACCCCTCCTCTTATCCTGTGGTTATACGTGAAGATGAGTCCCACATCACCTCAAAACTAGGTGACTGGCTGGCCCTTTTGGTCTTCCAGCCTCTAATCACTAACTGAAATCTGCAACCCCGTATTGGGCACACAGGAGGCATCTCGCATATGCAGTCGCTGTGCATGTATGTGAGGCTTTGGTAGACGATCCGTGTGCCCTCTTGAGAAATGTGAACAGCATCTTTACCCGGCCGAGGCCCAGTGGATTTCTATTTCACCACAGAATGTAGTTCAGGGCTTGACTTGTTCCGCTGGGTTAGGTCTAGTCCCGAGGGTGAGGCCTTGAGGTGCTGCCAGGACCGGGCTCTGACCACCAGAATCGGGGCTGCTGGCCTGCTCCAGTTTGGGAGCTGTGCTCGTTTCAGCCTTGCCAGTGGGGAAACGCTCTCAGGGAATGGGGGTATGTTGCTGGGACTGAACCCGTAGTCTTCAGAACTTCCCC